GCTCGTGGTTCGTGTGCCGCCGCCGCCACCGCCACCGCCGCCGACGTCGCCGTCGGGTGGGAAACAGGAGAACGGAATAGAAGGGATGATAACATTTGTATCATATTTAACGCTAGAACGAGCGGGTTAAGGGGTGGAAGACAGCCTTCACCCCCTGGCCACCTTCTTCCTCGTCGTCTCCTTCGGTCTTCTCTCCCGCTCTCTTTGGTCACCCTTCGCCCCTCGATCTCCCTCATAACCGCGCTCCTCCGTTGCCACCCTAGAACGCCACCTCGCACCCCCTTGCTCTCGCCACTGCGAGTAATATACCACTGAAATCAATACCACCACACTGCCTTCTCTATTTACCCAGGCTCATCATCCGTACACAAATTTATTGCGTGTCCCTAGCAGCTCGAAACATCCCTCTCCAGCTGCCAAGGATATCTGGCGTAGTCAGATCGGGATTTTGTAGTAGCCCAGTTAATATCACGCGGTTCATTTAATGCGTTTGTTCGCGGAAATCCACTCGGCTATCTTCATCAAAAAGTATTTTCCGATTATTTCGTCCGGTTATATCTCACTCCAGTATCTCTTAAAAATATTGATCTTTAAAGAATCAAGCGAAATGAATCTCGTTCTTTAGCAAAAAATTTCTCTTGGGCATCAATGGAAAGCAGAGCAACAAATAATTATAAAAAAATGGGAAACCTTTTAATACAGTATTTGACCACTTAATCTGATTAGCTTGCTGATCTAAGAGATTTATTTTATTTTTTTTTTCTAATCTAAACGCGCGGTGATGCCCGGTGTAAAAGATATTCAGACATATATACATATATATGAGAGAGAGAGAGAGATTTAATGATACACTTTGAAAAATACTCGTAGCCATTTTACGTTACGTTACTCTTAATTATTCTGAGATCTTATTAATCCGCGATTTCAATTTTTCTTAAAGCGAGCGGACAATTTTCCTCGGCGTGCCGGCGGTCGAATATAATTTATGCATGCGCTGGGACGTCGGATAAGATCACGTTAGGCGACGTGCGGTAGTTAGCGGGAGAATTTTTTAAATACCCGCTGGCTGAATTACTTAAAACGTCGCGACGCGCACAGGTGGTTTCGTGCGCGTCTGTATGCGAGCCGTGTGCATACGCACAATCTCCCCCGTCGTCGTGCGCACGTGTGTGCACGTGTGCACGTGTGCACGTGTGTGCACGTACGGCGGTATGAGACGCACGGTGCATCGATGGGGCGTTACACGCGTTGCGATAATATTACGTCATTAGGCGGGCAATGCTACTATCGCGTGCCCTGCTTTGAGCTCGTTACGCGTCGCGTTTCTGAGGAGAAACGGCGCGGCGAGGTGAGGTGAGGTGAGGTGGGGCGAGGCGCGGCTATCCCGTCGCTCTTGTACCAAGTGAAAGATAACCGATAAGTAGCGCTACGAGATAAATGCCACGTAAATTAGTCGTGCGCGATATATGCGTATGGGCTGTACGTGCCACACGGACCGCATGGTCGGCAAAATTGCGGGGACGGTAACGGGCTTGTTGTAGATATAACCCGGTATAAGATAAACGCCGTGCGCGATACCCGCAAATTGTTTCGCGAGTAATCAAACGTATAGGTAATTGCGATAACTTTCCCCGTAATTACTCGCACGCTGCTGTGTCAAATTGAATCCGGAGCGGAGACCGCGAGCGGGCGCGAGAGGATGAAACTCGTGAGGAATAAGAGGGGCGCGATTTTATATATTTTATATATTTCACATTTTTATTTTGTCATCTATTTGATTAATCGTAAATCGTCTTGACTGCGGAGCGGATTATACATTCATCGGCTTACGTCGGTACACGACGGTTACGTTGCAGCTTACTGGTTGCCTCTATAGACATTCGCGCCGTTAATTTATTGCCAGAGCACAATCGGAGCGTCGCGCGAGCGAGCGAGGCATCAAGATTAATAATGCATCTTTGAGGGTGCGTCCGCCAGTAGGACGCGCGGGAATATGGGTCGAGTTGCTCGTCTACTTGGACGGAGGTGCACATCAAAAGCTCGTTGATGTATTCGGCTCGGTAGACTGCCGGCAGCCGGGCTGCTCACGTGGAGAGCGGCTCGTTATCATCATCTCACGTCGTTCTTTCGGACTTTTCAGGAGAGCGACGCCGAGAAGAGCGATCAGGACCTGGTCGTCGACGTGGCGAACGAGGTAAGAGACTGTCATTAAGCAGAAAAAGAGTGCACTGCTTGTCTATTAGTTTTTTTCTTTTTTTTTTTTTTATTACAGAATGTGTCTATTTATATAATTTACTACTTATCCACACGTAATTATCTTTCATAATTAACCGCTGTGCATGCGAGTTAAATTCAAATTTAAACTTCACGTTTCTTCACGTTTGTTTTTTTTTTGTGCGTATTTGAAATTAACGTTGCCGTGAAAGGGAACGTCGCGGAATAATTTCGAGCCAAGTTTTTTTATCTTTGGAAATCTCTATTTTGAGAAATTTTGAGAGAGAAGCTAAGAAACAAGTTGGAAAGAAAAAAAACACGCGGATAAAGATATTTATTGCTGAGTCCTGAGAGACTCGCGCTACTCTCGCATGCTGCTGCTACTTGAG